CCCCAAAATTCACTGCTTGCATCTATCACATCACATTACATGCATCTCTGTGTCCACTTTAAATATTCTAGCTTTGCAATGCTTATACATATGAAATTTTGAATTCTTAGCAAAACAATAACGTTTTGAAAGATAGTTACTTCAAATCACAGGACATTCATCACAACTGACATGTTCCTAATTAACAGCTTGAATTTTAAATGGAGTGCCTGTAATGATAATTTGTAGATGATAGGCAAGTGTTAACATTTTTGTTGTAATTATGTTATTTCTACTGCCACCAGTATTCCACAAAGAGAAAAAAACATCCTAACATTTAGAGTATATTAAGCTTACGTAGAAGCTGAAGAGTCCATTATGAATTTAGTGGGCACAGCTAAGAAATCTTCATGCTGCCATCTAAGCCTACAGCAGAAAATGCTATTCTGAAATATTATGCAATGACACTTCAGCTTCCCACTCTTCTCTCAGTATTATTCTACATATATCACTCCTAGAGTGAAACTCAGGAGATTAAATACATCAATATTTGCTAACAGAGTGCCATAACAAGCATGAATCCAAATTAGAAAAGCTGATAAACTTTGCCAACAAGGCGAGATTTTATACTAGAGGTCTACAATTATTTTTTGATTATACAGATAAAGTTACATCATGCCCAGTGTTCTAATCTATCAGTGGTCTAATGTACCATGTGTAATGACAATGCCAATATATAATTTGGCATTTAATGATCAATACATTTTTAATATGCATATGTGCAATTAAGATGCTAAGGGATCAGCTAAGATTAGCAGAACAGCAGGTACAAACACAGCCCAGAAGCATCCATTTACACTTCTGCAATAGAAGCAATTTGTTTAGCTGATGTTGTCTTTTTTCATGTTTTTTCATTAGCTTGATCTCAGACACTCCAGTGCATGAGGTGGTACTCACAGAGCAAAAGCATCACAAATACAGGCATGAATAAATATTAATGAAAGCATTCATGCCAAAAGTGCTTCCATGAACATTATGAAAAGCTTTCTATTTCATGTAAAATTGATTTGTTAAACAGTTATGAATATTCACAGGTAACCAATGAAGAGGAGAGAGACATCCTGTTTACACAACTTAAGGGAAGTGTGTGATT